AAGTTGTATGTTTCATCATTGCTATACTGATGGTCTCTTATCCTGGCAATCTTAACAATGATCCAAAATCAAACAAAACCAGAACACAACAAACACTGCTAAGGATTCAGAGAGACTGGAACTCTCAGACATTGCCGGTGTGATTATAAAATAGTTAAAAACATTACAGAAAACAATGTGGTACTTTCTTAAAAAGTTAGAAGTAGATAAATCATATGATCCGGCAATCCTATACCAGGTATATATCCCAGAGAAATGAGAGCCATTCTATGACTAGATGTATGAGTGATGAGTAAGGCAATACACAATTCGGGGAAGGTCAGCACAACATGACCATGGCAAAGGAAGACACTGAGAGGTATTCAAGAGCAAAAGGCTACAAAAGTAAGTATGATTACAGCCACAATCTTACAATAATAGTAATAACAAAAAATGTATGAGTACACATATAGGTAGATATGTAAGCTGAATAGGTGCGGAATCCATATGGGAGTATACCCACAGCAGAGGATATTTCCGCAAACGTATTTTTATGCACTGCAAATATATCCAGGCATGTGGCAAAGCACACAGGGGGCTAAGCTATGTGAACTTCTTAGCCATAACCAAATACCTGGAGGTACTGAGTCACTGGGTTTGAAGGCGTAGGGCTAGAACATCTAGGTCAATTGGCACAATATACTCATAAAGACAGTGTTCTCCATCCTTCTTTGGGAGCACCACTGGGTCTTACAGCGATTGGGCTCTCCCTATTCCAGAGCAACGTGAAGAAACTCACAGATTCAGGGAATCGATTAAGCTACAGGACTAATAAACCACAGCCTCCACAAGAACTGGATGATGCCTGGCTTGCCTCTGACCAGGATCATAATGGAAGGTCCTAGACAGAATGGGAGAAAAATATTGGGTAAAATTAAAATCTACTAAAATAACAAGTCTCTATTACTGCTCTAATACAGACTGGTTGAACCCCTGAAACTGGGATTCTGAGTTACCCTTCAAACCTGGAACTGAACCCACTCCTAGAGATCACCATTCAGCCAAACAATAAACAGGCCTATAAATAAACAATAATACTCACAAGACTGTGCTCCTCCTAATAAATAGCCACAAGAGACCAAAAATGAAATATATCCCAACAACAAAGTTCCGAAGGTAAAAAAGGGCAGGCAAGATAGCTGAATAGAAACAGAGAAGCTGGGGAGGAAGTTGGAAGAGTATTGTTGTTAAGGTAACAGGACTGCAACTATCCCCAAACAAAAGAGCTATCTATATTCGATTGAATGGGAAATTGCCATATATACTCGAGTTGTAGCCGACCCGAATATAAGCCGAAGCACCTAATATTGCCACAAAAAACTGGGGAAACTTATTGACTCGAGTCTAAGCCTTGGGTGGGAAATGCAGCAGCTACTGGTAAATTTCAAAATAAAAACAGGTACCAATAAAATTACATGAATTGAGGCATTACCCTGTTTCTCCGAAAATAAGACAGTGTCTTATATTAATTTTTGCTCC